GCTAGGGAATCAAAACCTACAAGGTACTTCCTGTGAACTCAGAATCTTGAAATTCGGCACGAAGCAACGTTATATAGTACAGATAAAGGAAAAATTGCGAAAATGATAAATTTGAAGTTATATAAAATTTAAAATATTATTTTTGCTTACATGACATAAAATATTTTTTTAATAATTATAAACTTACTACCTACCCTTTTTCACATGAACGCGTAGAGATATTAAAGTTGAAATTCATATCAAACACTTCTTAAATCTAATTGCCTCTAAACTGTGAGAAATTCTAAATCAACGCAAAAATTCAAAACGCTGAGGTAGGTACCTACCTATAATGCAAATATAGGAAAAATAAATAAATAAAAAATAATCATACCGCATATTTTTTTTTTATAAAACTCCGGACTTTGACGTAATTTTGGTTTAAGTGAAATGAATGGTGTCCATTGGCATAGCTACAGGTTTTACCTTAGAATACTTGTTTAAAAAAAACCCTAGCTACGCCAAAGCTAGCGTTATTTGATAAGGATCAGATATAAACACAAAATAATCTTGCGTGCATACCAATGTTATTTATACCATTTTGCAAGGGGAAAGGGATTTGTAGTTAGCCCTGACTACTTAAGGACAGGAAAAAATCAAATGATACCGCGAGCTAACTACGAACAGCGCCATCTATTGACAACCGTGCGAACTACGTAGTGTCGTTGCTCGGTGATAGGTGTTGCTGATTGCAGCTCATTGTTACAATACTTTTTATTAAAATCGGATTTTATTCCGGAGGTTTTACAATTTCTTACTACTTTCGCAAATCATTACAAATGAAGAAAGGAATTTACGGTGTGGTGCCCTCAATGTACAATTAGATTTCGAGCGATACCACTTTTGGGCATTCTCCTTTTAAGTAGTTACTTTCCCCATTGTAATGTTATGAATTTCATTTTGCAAAAAAAATACCATAGTTATGACTCGATTGTCGTAATGAACAAACTATGTAAACCTTGCAGGTTTGTACGGAACCCTCGGTGCGCGAGTCCGACTCGCACTTGGCCGGTTTTTAATTTACCAATGGAACGCAGAAATGTATATTAAAATACATACTGTCATGGTGTTTATCTGTCATGATTTCGTGAAGACTACAGGGCGTCAATTAGGTATAAAGTTAAAACTCTAATATTTTTTGTTGAATGTAAAGGCCTTTGCATATTTGGAGCACACTGGTATCGACATGTTAATGTGTTTAAAGATAATAATGTAGCGTTGGTAGTTTTATTACGATTACATGTTTTTGGCGTCTTGCTTATCTAACTTAAAGCATTATCTCCGAGTTAAATATAATTGCAATATTATTTGGGAGTAAGAGATTTAATCTTTTCTTGATATTATAATTTAGACATGTATTTTTTTTTATATAGAATTATAATATTAGCAATTCGTTTCACAAATTACTAACAGTCCCGTTAAAATAGCTCTCACAATAGTAGAGTGTCAGCAGCGACCTGCAAACTGCTTTTCATGCTATCTTAGCTGCGCTTTGGTATTCTCATTGACTTGCACCTTACTGTGTCCTGGCTGTTCTAAATCAGCTTTGGTTGAAGCGTCATCTGCTCTAAAAGCTTGTAAGGGTCCAAATTGAATAAACGAATCCACTCTGACCTTGAAGCATCTTTACTTTTGCAAATTAATTGCACAGATTAAACAAAGCTCTAAGAACGAGCCCTTCATGATTATTACAATGCGAAATTATTAATTCCCAAAATTGACAAAAAATAATTTAATAATTGTGAGGTTAAATTAAATATTTTACTCAAAATTGCAACCTAAATTAAATCATTAAACATGAGTCCGATATTTTATAAGAAACACGTTCTAAACCGTTAAACATACTTGTTCACAAATCCTCATAAATCGTTTATTCGTTCGTTTCAGCCGAATGACGTCCACTGCTGGACAAAGGCCTCCCCCAAGGATTGCCTGATAAATATTTTTCATGTAAAGTGAAAACCCATGTCAAATTAAAATATCTAATGTAATTTTACAAGTTTTCACGATATCCAATACTACATTATTCATCATGTTTTTTATTAGCTTTTTCTTATTTATAGTCCATTGATTAAAGTCTAACTAGACCTGGATTTAATTCCCTACTAGATATATTAAGCAAACATCCAGTAGGTTATAGGAGTCAGTGATATCAGGCAAAATTATTATTCAAAAAACATAAGTAAACGTAAAAGAAATACATCTCCGTATTTTATATTGCGATTAGACATAGTACCTATTTTTACAAGCTTTATATTGACTTCACTTGTTAGTATGTGTGGGACAAATCTTGCAACTGAATTTAAGACCACTTCTCCTCAACCGATTGAGCTGAAATTTGGTATACTTATGTAATTACGATGACAATGCAATGTTATGGTACCATTGAGCTGGTCTGATGATGGAGTCAGGAGGTGGCCATAGGAACTCCTAAACGCAACAGCGGAAACTTATTGAGTTTAGGTTCTTTGGATTCGACTTCCCGAGCACTTTGGTGCTAAATGATGACCAGGGCCTGGGCCCTGGTACTTTTTAGTTGTATCTCAATATCTGGATATTGAGATACAACTAAAAAGTGTAAAATAAAATTATAATAAAAAAATAACTTTTTTAAAAAGAAGCTTTATTTCGAAAGCTTGTAGCGCAAACAGAAAAAAAGAGGAATAAATTTCATGCACGATACAAGCTTTCGAAATAAAGCTTGTTTTTAAAAAAGTTATTTTTTTATTATAATTTTACATAACGTCTCATGTTGGGAACCCAACAACGCGCGGGAGGAGACGTGCGGGCGGCGTACGATGACTAACGTCACCTCGGGCCGACAGCGTCATCATCGGCTGCGCTTGGCTCACACACTCGCCTTTGGACACCACCGTCGACGCACGATTACCGCGTATCCTAGTTAATCAATTGTAAATTAGGCTGGCGAGAATACAGCACCTATTTTAATACAGTCCGCTATTTCATTCATTATACTAATATTCGTTAGGACCCTAACATCTCAAGTACGTAAAACTTAATGCAAACTCTAAATGCCGTAATCTTAATAACTTTCGATGTCATCATCATCATCATCATTTCAGCCACAGCACGTCCACTGCTGATCATAGGCCTCTTTAATGATTTTCAGATAGGCCGGTTGATAGCGACCTGCATCCAGGACCTTCCTGTTATACACTCAACATCAAATAAATCGCACCTCCCGCGACAAGCATTTTCAAACGTATGCATCCCCACTTCCCACCAATATTGGCACCATTTAAAAGCCTAGTTCTAACCTTCATTTCATTAAAGGAAAGGATTTTACCCCAAAAATGTGTCTTTAGAAGGATCCACAGTCACTTCTTCAAAAAATTGGTAGTTACGCTAAAGCCAAACTTTTATGGCTATAAAACTGTTAAATTGGGATTAATCGCTATCCATCTGGTAAAGAGGACGCGTGAGATCATTATTTGGTTTTATAACCATAAAAATTGGTCTAATTGATCCCATAGTAGGTGGGCCCAAAGTGAGGTATTTTTTCAAGTCACATTTATGGTATATGTTAATCATGTATTAAGAAATTAAATGTGTTTTTCTTTAAGGATATTTATTGGGCTTTCAAATAACACCAATATTGTTGGGGCACCATGATTGTGTCAGAAGAAAATCGTTAAAGTTCGCGTCGCGGAAGGTGCGGTTTATTTGATGTTGAGTATATTTAAAAGGTCGTCTGTCCAACATATGGGTGGACTTGCTACTGTATGGCAGATATTTTTTTAAAGTAAACGAAAAGATAAAATTCATCATCCAAAAACAACAAGGTTTTTACGTAGAAACAACAAAATAGATTATTACAACTAAACTGCTGACCCTTGACAACGGGATATCCCTTTTTGCTGTCTTGGAAAATTCTTCTTACTGATAACAATATTGTTTTGCCTGACTTTTCTACCTTGTAGATACAGTTTCCGGAATATCAACCTACTTACTTATGGTAGAGTCATTGCAAAATCACACTTATTAAAACTCCTTAAGATGCCATATTAATCAGGGATGTTATGGATATTCGTAACCGTAACCGAAACTTTCGGATATCCGAAATAAAAAATATATAAACCTCAAGAGGATTTAAGGCACTATTTAAATCAAAGATGTAATGGCTAAATAATGTACCTAATAATATCCGAAATAGTAACCGTAACCGATTCAAAAGTTTCGGATAGTTTCGGATGTAGGCAGATTAAATTGTATAGCATTATGATGTTAAGGCATATCAGCCTGATTTACCTTTATAATGCCATCTACAAACTACAATTTTTATTTTTTTATTCGATGTAAAGTGTGCGGCCATGAATGAACCGTGTTGGACAGCTATTGCAAATTGCATTCTAAAGCACAGATATCCGTAACCGTAACCGAAACTTTCGGATATCCGAAATAAAAAAATATCCGTAACCGTAACCGAAACCGGTATAATATTATTCCTACATCCGTAACTGTATCCATAACCGTAACTACATATCCATAACATCCCTAATATTAATCTCTGTACAAGTATTAAAATAATGTTTGACAACTCTTATAATTATAATTCTGTCACGAAAACGTTTTAACCGTGATTCTACTTTGCTAATGAAGCACGAAAAGTTAAGGATCAAGTCATTTTTCCTCGTGATTTTTATATGAAATGCAATCCTAATACAATTCAAATTAAGACTTGATTAGCGTAATTATGATGAGGATCTTCATGTAATGTTAGAATCATAAATTGTGTTTTAATTTAACGAAGAACGCGGCGGATTTGAAAATTATGACAATTTTGATTTAACTAATTTCTTTCTTTAAGAAAATTAACGTATTAAATGCTTAAACTAATTTAAAAAGTGGCAAATTTTAATAATTCCAAATTATCTACTACTAACAATGCTTTATTAAACAAATTATAAGTCAATACTATTATTTAAAATCCATAAACAAACCTTTATAGTACAGTTGAGTGCCATTAAACTATTTTGTCGACCAAAACAGCAAAATTACTACGTTTTCGCCGCATTACAACAGTCCATCACTACAGTTCATACACAAGCACGCGATTACTGTACATTATTACAGTTAATTTGAAAGTTTTATCGGTAATATTATCACGTGGACCGAAGGTGATCGCGTTAAAACAATTATGTTTGACAAGCGAGCGTGCCATCGCGCGGCGCGCGGAATACTGGCGTGGCGGCGCCCTTACCTTCGCTTAGGGGTGGTTTGTATCGCTTCGGCAGCCTTCTCTCTCCGTCAGGTAAGCTTTACGAGCGCGAGCGTAGGAATGAAATGGATATGACTCCTTCGACTTTTTATTTCAGTTTCAAGAAGTATTGTATAGGTTACCACGGAAAATGTAAAATGAGTTTTCATCACGCTATAGAAGACGAAATCCTAGAGAGAAAATAGACTTATTTAGGTTGAGTTGCACCACTTAACTTTGACAGTAAATTTAACGATAACCGGTGCTTTTTGTATGGAGTTGACAGATTTTTGACGTTTGTCAAAGCTAAAGTATGATGGTGCAAACCCACCCTTAGATTAGTAACTAGAAACTTTCCAAAATGTTTTTACAAAAAGTTATCAACCTAAAATACCTAAATAAGCAAAATAATCGAGCTTATGATTTAATTATGTTTAGATAAGTAACATATTAAACACTGAAAGAGTTATTTATTAGTCTCTTCAAATAAATGAAGGTAATGTAACTAAATCATCGATTTTCTGCCGAAATATACGTAGAATACGAGTATGTGGTAGGTCGTAATTAAATCATCACAGAAACACGAAATATTACACCAGCAAATTACAGCTCACCGCATCACAAGTAAAAACCACCTGCTCCTGTTTGCAAGCCAACGTTTCGACTGCCTCGTAGTACTTATTAATTACTGGGAGCAAATTAGCGCGTTGACCGAACCGAACTTTCTCGTTAAGCTTGTCAAAACGCTTTGTAGAAATAAATCGTAATTTCTCTCTTTGTCGCGAATAGGGACGCCAATATTGAAAGTCAACGACAACTGACGTGAAATTATTTCCGTTGCGTCAACGATATTATTGAGCTCATTGCTATTTATATTGACTGACGTTTATGATCCGTCAAAATTGGTAGATTTTTACCGCCTAACCTATACCTCATTGTACAAACTTTCTAAATCCAGAAAAAAGTATCTCTACTTGATTTTTTATTTTATTTAGGTTAAAAACAAAGTTCAAACCTACAAATCGGTAAATATGATCTGCTGGAGTGTCATGAAATAGATAAGATAAGAAGTTATTGGAGGGAGAGGGAAGCTTTGTATGTGAAAACTATGTCACATAATTTTTATTTTTATTCGAATTATCTGAAATTACCTACTCTTTTATTCTTTTTTTCTACTTTTAATTCTTAAATAAGTTTTCGAAAATGCGATTACTTTGGTGACGTTTATTCCGAGAATGACTATGACAAAGGATCCAATTTATAAACTCTTATCACTCAAATTAAGGTCTAGACCTAACTAAATAACCTGAAGAAAACTAAATACCCTTTTAGTTTCAGAATAAAAACTACGCTTATTCACCATTTATTACCTACCTAGATCTATTTATTCACGTTTCGTTCAGGGTAATAAAATGTTAAATAATAATTTAAAATATTATACATATAACTAGCGGCCGCCCGCGAGTTCGTACGCGTGGATCCCGTTTTACCCCCTTCATCTACATATCTTACGCGCTTTAGATTTTTTCATACAAATGTTTTTTACCGCTAACCGCTAATTCCTAAGTATACTATAACCTGCCCAGGAGTATGAAGAATAATTGTACCAAGTTTCGTTAAAATCCGTCGAGTAGTTTTTGTTTCTATAAGGAATATACAGACGGACAGACAGACAAAAATTTTACTGATTAAATTTTTGGCATCAGTATCGATCACTAATCACCCCTTGATAGTTATTTTGAAAATATATTTCATGTACAGAATTGACCTCTCTATAGATTTATTATAAGTATAGATAGATAATGAATATTTAAAAATTATCATATGTGTGAATGGCAGCCCTACTTATATGATTAACTGAAATTTGTTTTCCGTCGGTGCTAATTAATTTCATTGTCATGATTTCTACGTCAGTTTTTCCAGTTAATTATTTTACTGTCAGACGAAAATGTTGTTTCACATTCTAGCAAAAGTTACGTAGTATCAAGTAATGATAATTAAAATTAATGTTATTAATATCGACTACCTAAATGCCTTATACCTTTGGAATTTGGTTTTTAAAGTTTTTGTGTTCGATTATATTATACATATGGAAAAAACTATTTTTAATTAATATTTTTCAAAGTAGGAGGCGATTGTATCCACCGTAGTGTGAACGACCTTCATCAAAGAGTATAGATGACCCACGCTGAACTGTCCCGCCAAACTCAATGACAGGGGGGCGCTACCATCGTTCAACTATATGGTTTCCAACATGGCAAAAATCTGAACCAGCGATCCGGTATTGACGGTGGCGCCCCACTGTCAATGTCATCGACAGGACAGTCCAGTATTTTGGAACTATACTTTAGGCATTTCACCTGATGGCACGAACTCACCGCGAAAACAAATATGGCGGCTAAAAACGTCAACTTTACACAAACCTGTCATGTAGGCTGGGTTGCACCATCTTACTTTAACTTTAACAAACATCAAAAATCTGTCAAACTCTATACAAAAAACACCGGTTATCGTTATAGTTACGCTCAAAATTAGGTGGTGCAACCTCAGCCTTAATAATATAATGTTAATGACATCGTTTCAGTAAATCAATACATCACAACGCAAACTTCAGCGACGTAAAATAAAATTAATTAGATTCCTTTTGAACAAAAACTTACGATTCGAAACAAACTTTTGGGAATAATTTCTGCCCATCGATAAATTCGCAATAAACGGAATAAAGAAATGAAAAGGCCGCTCCAAACTGGGATCGGAGATTAATTAGTTCGGAACCTATTAAAATTGACCTATATTTGTGTGTATTATTGATTTAGACGAAATTTGCATACTTGCTGGTGATGATCACCAGCAAGTATGCAAATTTCGCTTCTAATAGCTTCATGATTATTCATCAATTTAAATATTATTATGTAGGTACAAAGAAAAAAATAATCTCTAAGGTTTTACATTAACTTGATACTTAAAATTTCAATTTGGAAGAAATTTGATTAAGGAAAGACCTGGAAAGTTGATAACAGACTACAGTTAGTATTAGCAATTAAAATCAGTATATAATATGACTAACAAGAACTTAAACAAAATGGCGAACAATTTTATAAGAAAAGTTCAAAAATGTATTCATCACTTATCCGAAGCGTAGGTAATAAGCATGATTAAACCAACACCTTTCTCACAATATTGAAAATAATTTGATTTCTTATTTTAATTTGCATAAGAAAACAAAATGAAAATCTAAAATTACCAGATTTCCCGCCATCGATCAAGCCCAGACAAGGTTTTTTGGAGATCCTGGACTAATTTAAAATGAAAGAGCATTTAATTTTCACGCTCGAAGGCGACCTTTAATAAAGTGAGTTGGAAAATGACAAAATAGACTAAACGAAGCTCAGTCTTTTTAACTTGGGATTTTTGAGTTGCCCCGGAGTTTTGAAGAGTAGGTATACGAGTATGTCCTAGCTAAGTAGTTGCTGAGAGATTTTTCGTGAAATTAATTCTATTACAGTTGCTTAGTACCTAACTAAGTTGAGTATATAGTGTTTGGAAATAGAAATAGCTATTTTCACTTCTGTTACAACTTTCAAATATGACTATTACAAAAACAATTCAACTCTTCAGTAATTGACATTAATTTATCTATTACAGTTATTCTTGCCCTCAATTTCACTCAAGTAGCTTTTTCTTATTCATAAATTACCTATAGGTACCTGATTTCGATAATATAAGTAGTTCATCAGAAAAACCGCTACGCGTCATGCTCTACAGAAAAATTACGGCTACTCAGAAACCTAGAATACTTGTCCATTTCCTACAAAACACCACAAAACTTCTAAGACTTCCACAAAACAACGTTAATGCAAAACAAACCGTACCCCACACTTATTTGTTAAAACCTCTGTAGCGAATCCACCGCCCCTAAGTTATCGACATGCCATGCCATTGGTTCTCAAAGGGTTGTCCAATAATGAAGGTCAATGGCCTGTTGTTTTTTTTTTCTAATATAATGGCTAACTAACTAAAGTGCGAATTACACTGTCCCGATTTTCCCGCACAACTCCAACCACTAAAGGCTGAAAATTATGTTATTTAAAGTGTTCGAATGGATTTGCTTTTAACGAATACAAAATATTATTGAGAGCTTTCATAAACTTAAATAATGTAGCGCCACCTGCGGCTTTACCTTGACACTTTCTTATCGCCCATTATTAAATACTGACAATATAATAATTCTCAATATTTTTACAAGTAATTTTACAAATAACCATCATCTCATATACTCAACGTAATGTCTTTCCTGTCTCTATCGATCCGATCTGCACAACCACTACAATAGTCTAATACATATTATTTATAATCCACGTTTACTAACTTCAGTTTTATACAAGCATTACGGTTAACAACAATAAAAAAATGCTTAATAAAGTTTGAGCGCCCTTGCACCGGCTATGAGAAATTCGTGCCAACGCTAATCTTCCCGCTTCCGAAGTCGATAAACTAAAATTTCGTGCCGTAGACCAACAAAGGATTTGTAGGGAAATGGTGGAAACAACCGTGGCCAATATTCCAAATATGGCCGCTGATAAATTAAGAGCGGTAATTCCAGAGCGATTTTGGCACGTACACGTATTTGTGGAGACGTGGACTGATTTCGGGAATCATGGAGCAGACTTTAGTGGCCAGTGCAATGTGCAGCTTTGTTATGCGGCGCTCTAGTTCGAATTTTGAAATAATTGACGTATTATTAAAAATAATACGATTTAATTTTGAAATTAGAACGATTCGCGATGTTTTTTTTTCTGTTTGTCTGGCACAAGAAAAGGTACATTTGGGAATCAAGGAGCAGACTTTAGTGGCCATTGCAAGTTCGAAATTCAAACTCTATATTTAGTTGAAAAGAAAAAATTCACTTTTTTTAGGTTATGAAGAAATTTTGCAAATAGAACGATTCGCGATTGTTTTCTCTC